CGCTGGTTTCCATAGCCAAATTCTCAGCTGGTAGAAGAAGGAATTTGCTATTTGACTGCAGGGACCCTGCTCAGTATTGCAAATAAACTCTGGAATGACCACTGATTTTCTTGCACCGTGCTTCCCCTTCATTGCTTTGCTACATCCAGACAAGGTGCGTGCATTTTGTGTGAAGAATAGATGCAACATCAGATAAGGAGGAAAACAGGGTTTGCACTCTTATTAAGAAAACAATAGTAAAGTGCCATTTCTCCTCCCCTTCAGTATAGCTCCCCCACCCCACAAAAGCTCCAAAATAATGTAGCGTTTTCGTTGAAACCAAAGAGGAGCTGCTCAACCGGAGCAGAAATCAAGCAGATGCTCTTGTGCATCTAGTACAGTTAACAGGGAAATGAAGTGTACGGACAGTGTCAGATCAGATTTTGCTATTTTGAGCTAACAGTCCAAACCTGCTGGTACTGTTGCAGTGATAACTTTAAATGCCTTTGAGGAAATTCAGGCGATGCGAAGCTTACTTCTCCCTAGTGCCAATTCATGTGATTCCTTTCTTGGTCATTTTGGATGGGTTGCTTGCATCTCACCTTAACCATCTAAAAAACTGTTGTCAAGGCTCCTATAATGCTCAATGGAGAGAGCCCAATGGACATCTCCAGAAGGATGGGATTGTCTTCTAGAGCTTTCTTTCTCCACTGCCTATGAGATGTCAAGCAGCAAATGAGGAGGACCTGGAATACTGGATGATTAATTCATAGCAACCACTATGTGGCAGGTACCATTCCCTGGAGTTTCCGGGGACTGGGCATCTTCCAGTCTCATTCCTCACTTCTGTTTCTTCTTAATCAGCTTATGTGCTCATAAAGCAGCTAAGAAAAGAGTTCCCATCAAAAAAAATCAGGACAAGATATTTAGGGAAGGTCATGTCTCACCTTGTCAATGAAGGAGGCAAATTTGTTGTTGAGGGTTTTGATTTGTTCCTTCTCCTCCTTTCGGATCCTTTGGATGCTGGGGTCAATCTCCAAGTTGAGAGGTTTCAGAAGGCTCTGGTTGATGGAGACTTCATGGATGCCCCCAGCCGGGAATCCAGGACCACCCATGCCACCACCGTACGCACCATATCCATAGCCAAGGTTAGCTGGCATGCCAAAGCCACCACCATACACGCTACCAGCGCCACCACCAAAACCTGCAGATCCGTAGAAGCTACCACCCCTTCCAGCCACAGAGATCCTCTTGCATCCACCAACATTGTAGAGGCTTTTGCTTCCAAAGCCACCACCAACCCTAGCAAACCCACTGCCCGCGTTGCAGCTTCCGACCCGAGTGACAGAGCATGAACTGAAGCTACTGCGGCAGGTGTTTGGGATGATGGCCGAAGCGGCGCTGAAGCCACTTCTCCCCCTCTGAATCTTCACGGTGGACTGGCGAGACATTGCTGGGTTTTGGATTGGGATGGATGCTACAGCGAGAATAAAGGAGAGCAGAGGTGCTGGCCTGGAGCAAGAAGTAGGAGGGAAAGGAGAAAGATGAACCTGTGCTCTCCACGGGCTCGGGAGAGCCCTTTTATGCATGTATGAGACTGGGATGGGTTTGATGAGGTGGATCGTCTTTCTGATTAATTAGGCTTGGCATGTCCAACAGCATTCTGGAGAGAGAACTCACTCCGCACACACGCCCTTCTGAAATAATACAGGTTCTGAGCAGCAGTGGTATTGTTCGAGAATAACTGTCGCCTTCTGCCGTCTTTGTAGACAACCAGACTCGTTGCCATATCAAAGCGTTTGAAAGTTGCGATGAGTCACGTTGGGCACTGGGAGGAAAACACCATTCAAAATGCCTGTCACTCAACACCTCTCTCATTGGAAAACTTCATCCCTTGGGATTGCTTTTGCCCCTTTTCTGTTGAGAAGCAGGGCTTTGAAAAGTTACGGTCCCCTGTGTTTTAGGAAAGGGCAGAGCAGCATTTTACAGCAAGCCCTGCAGTAATTTTTTCTATCCTGGGGTTTTGTGATACGTCCTGCATGGTCCCCTCTCTGCCATCACATCTTTTATCTGCAGAAAGAGTTTTGCTTCCATCCTTATAAAGGCTCAGCTCCCTGAGCTGATCTCTTCTGAAAATCCTGCTTCTGCAAACTGATTCTTCTGTCACTAAAAAAAACATACAGGAATGAAAATGAAATGTTTTGACAAGGTCTTTTGTTCATGTGTGGATTTTGACAGCTGCCGTTGAGCTCTATCACAAATAGTTGTGCTAGTACCTTGGCTTTGAAGATTTGGACTTTGGTATTTTAGCAGGAGGGTAACAAACAAACAAGCAAAACAAAACAAAACAAAAAAAAGGAAGATTGTGGGAATGGGAACTGCTTTGAATCCACTGGCTCTATGGAAATGGAGTGCTCTAGGGCTGTTCCCAACTCACAGTTTATAAACACGATGTAGTTTCCCAAAGATTTAATCAGCTCTTTCAGCACTGCACATCTGAAAGCCTGATCCTGCCTGCTGGAATCCACTAGGATTCACTCTACAGGATTCCCTCTGCTCAGACCCACAGCAATCTGGACACAGTAAGACATCCTGGAGCTTTCCTTTCTCAGCCACAGGTACCAACGCAGCCCTTTGCTTTGCACTGAGCATGCCAAGCAGTGTGAGTAACAAGTCAAATAGAAAAATTTGAAAAATAATTCATTTTGAGGGACAGTAAGTGTTTCTGGCCCTCACTGTGTTTCGGGTTGTTGAGGAAAAGATGATTCATACATAATTTATTTATACAACAGCATGAACTTGCAAACGCATTTCCCCCCAGAACAGTTTCCTCTCGTGTTGTCTGTGAGTCCGAGGAGCTGCTGGCTGCAGTACAGGGATAACGTAATATTGAGGAGTCACCACGGTGGAGGGATGCTGTGCTTCGATCTGCCCCTGTCTTGCAAGGTACCTGAGTAAAGGGAACTCCCAGAAATATTTCGTGTCCCCGTTGTTTCCCCAGCTGCTTTTGTTCAGATGGATTGCATCTGTAATTGAGTTTTTAAACGAAGGGGAGAATAGATAGCAATTGTTAAATTCATTTTGGTGTCTGTTACAAGACTGAGCTTTTACTGTAAGGCAGGGTTTAATCTTGCAATTTTTGCCCGGTGGGGCTGTCTCGTTGGGTCTGCCTGTCTGCACATTTGCCCCCATGGGAACTGGAAGTAAATGGATTGCAACCAAGAGGTCTGCATCCGAAAGGCGGTGGGTTATTGATCAGCCTTAGGATTTTCCCACTAATTGACACGACTTGAATGCGGGAGATGATTGATTTCCCCCCGACGTAGCACGCTTGACTCATATAGATGCAAGTCCCAGACAGCAAGATACTCAAAGGCAGATGCAAGTTGCCAGCTACCTTAAATGCCTATGGCTCCTTTGGGAATTGCGCACTCGGGTGCTATCCATCTCACGGAACTTTGACTACCTGAAAACTTTTCTGTATTCTTAGGTAGTCGGTGGAGATCACCACCAAATGGCATTCTCCCATCCTAAGCTGGATGGACGGAGAGGCCCCTGAAGATGGCTTTCCACCTTCACCGGTGCTATGTGGGTAGAGCAGATGGCTGACTCAGGGTGTGCAGATTTCTGAAACCCACCCTCGGTTACTAACAGCGTGATGCGTCAGTACTTTCCTTTTTCCCCTCAGGCTCCTTTTACATATGAAACTTGTCTTTTTTGGCTAAAGACTACGCCAACTGCGTTGGAGTCCATTGTTAATAATAGTAATAATACAGCTCCTCCAACCAAGTAAAAAGAAATTAATTTCTTTCCATTTCACGTTTGCAGTAGGGTGGAGGTGATGCGGTTGTCACTCATCTGGAAGGAATTTGAGAGGTAATTACAAAAGGCAGAACTGTGAGCGCGAGGAGCTGTAGCTACAGGTTTGGGGTATGGGATGATGGCAAGGGGGGTCCCCACCCTGCTGTGTTGATGAAACACAGGGTTTCCAGGTAGCTCCTCCGGGAGTGTCTCCCGTGCACCCTGCAGCTCCAGGCATGTAATGAATTTACTGCTCTGATGCAGATAGCTTGCTCTGATACAGACTTTTTCTCCTCCACTGCTCACTCAAGCTGCTCCGTAGTTTTTCCTCCTAATCAAAGAACGAGAGCTGTGTTTGGGCAGGTCCCGCCAGGTGAGAGCCCCCCTGACATGGCAGAAGCCGTCTGTGAGGCTGAGCAGGCTCCAAAGCCTTTTTCTTCTCTTCCCCTCCTCATTTCTTCCTACCAGGCTGAGCAGAGAGGGCAAACAGCAGCAGGTGCAAATCCCAGACCAAGAGGCAGGAGATCCCTTTACACCATGCTCTAAACCTGGGAGTAAAGTCTTGGATGAGTTTGGTTCCGGCATCATGCTGATATCAAGGTAATAACTCTCCTTTGAGATTAGGAAAGTGAGTTCTGACTCTATCGGAGCAATAAAGGCAACTCCAGCCCCTTTAGTGAGAAATTTGAACCATTTTCTGTGTACCCAGCCAGTGAACAGGGGATACCTCCAACAGCTTTCCATCGTCTCCTCTGCATCTCTCTGCATCCCTGCTCCTCTCTAGCATCTACCTTGGAAGCCTTCGTCTGACGGTGGATGCCCTTTCTCAGACAAGGCTGAAATTTTTAGTGCTGTGTTTTGTTTGAAAAAATACGTATATTTGTAAAATGAGACCGTGTCTGACTAACTTGGGTTGGTTCACCTGTGCTACCTAATCTCAGTTTAATTATCAGTAAAGTCAAGGCTATAATTTAGGTTAATTGCTTATATTAAAGCCTTTGGGTTAAACTTGGGCTGCTAACCTAAATTCAAACCCTACTCATTTTGACCATAATTTACTATTTCATCCCAAGTTAATGAAGTCCTACTGGTCACCCTGAGCTTTTGGCACAGGGAGCCACTCAACTCGCAGCATCCTTGTGCTGTGGGGACGGGCACCTCTGAGAGACCTCCCGAGCGGGAGGCGAGTGTCTGTGAAGATCATTTCCCGAAGGGATGAATTAGGATGAACTCCTCAGAAGCTTTCCCATAGGTGTTGCCCCATGATGGGTGTTGCAGTCCTTTGAGCCTGTTCCCAGCAGTATCTGGAGGCCAGTCAGCTATAACTATGAGATGACTTTGAAGTGTAGGTGTGACCCGCTTTCTCCAGATAATTGTTTTCTGGGCTAGCACAGAGACACCGATGCAGACCAGGGGTTTGGAATAACTTCGCCTTCATTACTGCTGTTGTTGCCAGATGTTTTATACAGAGCGAGGAGGTCTCGTTTCCCCCTGTGGCTTGTTCCATCTTGAAAGAGCCTCTGACCTTAGGTGGGTATTAGCTGATACCTCCTTTATCCTATTCTGCATGCAACACTCGTGCTTAGATGGTGCTACCTGAAGAAACCTAAATATCCCAAATTGCATTGTAGTGTTTTCTGAGCTTATCTTTAATCCCTGAGTAGGGGTGCTGGGGCTGTAATCTCCACCCAGCTCCAGGTGGAAAGCAAGATCTTACAACGCTGAAGGTTATCACAGCGGTGTAGCATCTCGTCCTTTCTCATGGCCCCAGGTTACATCTTTTCTCCCGATAAAGAAAACCAAGCACTGGAAGCGGTGTTGCTGGAAAGTCCCATTATTTTGGATCAGCTCTGTGCCTACGTGTGGCAGGTCCCTCAGCTCCATCCTGCACCAAGCACTGCTCCTGGTTTGAGTTCCCTTGCAAAGAGCCATAGTAGCACTTATATGAGGTTTAATTTCTCCCTATTAAAACAAACTGGATCCGCACAATGCTATTCTTAGAGCTAGTAAGATAAATAAGGATTATTCATGTGTCCGGGAAAGTCTCTCCAGTCACAGGGCACCAATTTTATAGGGCCTCATGTTTATTTACCATGCAGTGCTATATTGCACCACACGTGAACCCGGAGGTCCCCGCTGCTGTCCCACAGCCCTTGGCATCGCGTGCAGCCAGACTCGGATCTCCAGCCGCTCTGGGCAGCGGGATATTGCTGTCCTGTTTAAATAGCGACCATCAGATTGAACGTGCCTTGCAGATGGGAGCTGGGAATATTGTTCTGCTGCTGGTTTTGCTGCATCCTATGTTACCTTCCCTGCAGCCATTTTGTGTCTTACTTCATTTACAGGCTGTGTAAACCATTTGCAAATTAAAACAAAAATAATTTTCTTTGAAGATTCTGCTTTTGAGTCAAAAAGCTGCAAAGTTTTGTTTGGGAAATGTTAAGGGGAGATGTT